CAATCAATACCCTCTGGGTCCTATCTTGGAGCCAGTTACCTAGCCACCAGACTGTAAAGTAGTCAAGGCCACATTTTCCCAATTTTACCATGAGAATATCGTGGGAGACTAGGTTGAAGGCCTTTTTGAAGTCTGAGTATATATCAACCTCATTTCCTCTATCCAGGTGGGGAGTTACCTGATCATAGAAGGAAATAAGGTTGGTCTGGTATGACCTGCCCGTAACAAAACCATGTTGGCTATCCTTCAGAATACTGCTTTCTATTAGCCTGTCAGATATGGATTCTTTGATAATTTTCGCCAGGATTTTACCAGGGATTGTGCTCAAACTGATTGGCCTGTAATTTCCCATGTCCTCCTTTCTCCCTTTCTTAAAGATAGGCACCACATTGGCCTTCTTACAGTCTTCTGGGACCTCTCCCAAGCGCCACAAGTCTTCAAATAACTTTGCCATAGGTCGTGCAATGGTGTCAGCCAGTTTTTTTAGCACTCTTGGGTGTAGTTCATCTGGTCCTGCTGACTTGTAGATATTTAGCCTTTGTAGGTGCTCGCCCACAAGATCTTTGCCAACTATAGGAGGGTGATCACCCCCACCTTGATCATCCTGTATCCTGTCAAGCAGGCTAACACCCTTGGACTGGTAGAATACCGATGTGAAGTATTCATTCAGGAGTTCAGTTTTGTCCCAAGTGTCTCTTATCAGCCATCCCATTTCATTCATCAGGAGCCCTATGCTTCCCTTATTTTTTCTCCGACTTTCTACATATCTAAAGGACTTTTTGTTGTCCTTGATTCCGGTTGCCAATTTGTATTTGGTTTGTGCCTTTTTGTACTCTTCTTGTACTCCCTTCCTCATCAGACCATGGTCCTGCAGGGCCTCGCCAACCAATCACCTAAGCTTGTGGAAGTCAGCTTTCCTAAAATCAAGAATTTCTACCCTACTATCTGATTTCCCTGACTTAACGGTGGATGGATAAAATGATCATTTCATGGTCACTGTCACCCAGCTTCCCTTCAATCCTCAGGTTGCTCACTAGAGGATCTGAACTTTGGCCAGAACTAAGTCTAGGAGTGCCTTGCCCCTGGTCAGCCCATAGAATTCTTGAGTTAGAGCTCCTCAATGCAAGTGAGGAAGCTTTGTGAGCAATCAGATCTTGCCAAGTGCTCATCCCACAAGACGTCTGGGTAGTTGAAGTCACCCATGATGCCCACGCTCCAAGAGCACGCAGCCTCTCAGTTCTCCAGAGAATTCCTGGTTGAGCTCTTCCTCTTGGTTTGGAGGTCTGTAGTAAACTCCCCATATCTTGACCCAGATGGTCTCAACTTGCCCTTGTTTCCAATCGTTACTTCTAGGGAGGTGTAATGTTCTTTCACATACCACCTTTCTTCCCAACGCAATCCCTCCTATACAGGGTGTATCCCCCTATGGTCCAATCATAGGTGGAGTCCCACCAGGACTCTGTAATCCCTATGAGATCATATTGCTAGTTGTTGCAAGTTACTCCTGCTTGTTTCCCATGCTTCTGGAGTCTGTGTAAAGGCAACTAAGCCTGCCATTAGAGGTCTTCGGCTTCCTGGTGAGCTGTGGAATACCCTGCCCATTGGCTGTTGTCAGAGAATGCTTCCTATTGTACCCTGGTTTCCAGGTTGCCATTTCTCAGGCTTGTACCCTATACAGGTGGATGCCATCTCTTCCCAACAGAGAAAGACCGCTGCTACCATGTGAGCCCTAGGATCTAGGGTATGGGGGTAGGGATCAAACCTACAACCGTGGAGTTAGCAAACTGGCACCCTTACCAGTCGTGCCACCGGGGGCCCCCAAAATTGAACAAGGGCATGCAAGAAGACCAAGAAATCTGCACTGAAAAATTATCAAAGATTAATTTGGCCTGAAACTTCTTCTCAAGAGTCAGATGGGAGAAATCTTCTGCATTGTCTTACATGCTGAGGGATCTCAAGGTGTTCTACAGAAATGAAGTAAATCAGTTAATGCCTGTGAGTCTACTTCCAATTCGGTACACTGAGATGTAAAGAAAGGGGCCAAATGGAAATGTTTTGGTGAGAACACCACTGGATTCCTCAGTGCCTGAACCCAGCCAAAAAGTAAACATGTAGTTGCATGGTGCGTCATTTGTCCATGCTGGAAGAGGGGCTTAGGCCATCACAATGAGACTTGATTTGTGGTTCCAAAAAATCTGGGTGTTTCAAACCCAAATATTAGACCATACAAAATAATCCCACTTGACTCATGAAAAAGATCCAGTTTCCAGTCTTCACCTTCACATCACCAAACACTATTGATACCCACCTATTCCCTTTGGAAATTATTCCAAGGTAATGGTCAAGAGGCCTCAAACTTTATATATAAACTATTACCTACCCTGCTGGGACTGAAAACTGACAGTAGTTGGTTATCAAGAGTCCCACACTCTGATTCATGCTCTCTGCTCCTAAGGCTACTAGGAAGTTATCACTAGTTCACATCAGACCAAATCCAGCTTCAGGATTTTAAGAACTGACAACCAATGACCCTGTGAACACTGATTTTGTTTAAAGACGACAACATCTTTCTCCTACTTCCTTCACCTCAATTGTTAGGGTCCTGGTATGCAGTTGTCACACAAAAAAAACCCTTAAAAACTTGTGCTGCCGCATCATCTTAGCACTATTCTACATTACTGTCTAGCAAAAAAGCAAAACCATGAAGCTCCTTTTCATCAAAACTCAGCATACAATCAAGTTCATCCAGTCACTGAGTTAATTCATCACTATAATTTTCCTAGTCACTGCACAAAACCCTTACACAAAATATTTTAGCCAATTCATCATCTGTTATAATGCAATTAAGCATTCACACAAACTAAATCACAATGACATCTGTTTCTGATAATTAGTCAACTTAGATACTGATCTATGCCCTTCATAGCACCTAGTAAGCCAGATGATGTTTGCAAAACACTGGATACTCTTCAGCTTTTCTTGGCTCAACGAGAGATAATCAGTTATTCTATTTTGGAAAAATAAAAGATATTTTGTTGAGGAGTACGTGTCCATGAAAAGCAGAAATCTTTTATTATTCTGCTCCATCATAATTATCTAATTTTTGTTATAGTGAATGTTCTCCATTTTGTAGTAAGAAACTGTACATCAAACAGTTATCTCTGGAATTATGCAATTCACATATAGCAAGTGAGTGCACAATCTTCACTCTGAATTTTTAATATACAAATCATTCTTTCCTACTTTTTAACATCCTACAAAATATATCTAAAAAATTTGAAAATGGCTAACTACTGATCGTTACTCTGGGATAGCTATTACAAATCCCTTTGGAGCAATGAATTAACCCTATTTTACTGAATTTAATGGAGAACAATGACATCTAGTGGCTAGAGTTGGTGTCCGAGTTTGCAGCCTACCAGTTAAATACTAGCTAGAACAGAGACAGCTGTCTGCACTGATTTACATCTGCCTCCCTTTAGTTTGTGGTAAGACTTGCAAAGACTTAGACCAAGTGCTTTTGAAAAAAACCTCCACAAATTTGTCTTTACTACGTATTTCCTGTCTGTTCTGAGTTTCTTCATTTTTCCAGACCCTTATTCCTTTAAGCTTACTTCTGATATGGAGTGTTCAAGAGAATTTCCATGTTTATTAGGTCTAAAATGAAGTTCCCTCCCATCCTCCTAGAACACAAGATATGAACCATACACACAACTGATATAAACCCTTTGTGTAGACATACTCATCCTGGTATAAAGAGGGACTTTTTGTTCTAAATCAAAGACTCCTCATGTCGCAAAATAAGAGCGTCTATAAGGAATTATACCAGTATAATGATAGCCATATGAATGGTTAAGCTTCCCACACAGACAAGGCCAAGGAACAGGGTTCCAAAACCCTAATGCTTTAATTGTTTTTCCCCCAGAGGCTCTTGATGAGTCCCACCATGTGAAGAACAAAAGTCATTGCTAAAATAAAGTCACACTTGTACACCTATTCAAGAGACAGCAGTTAAATCCTAGGAGGATGACAAGAATGCTAAATGCTTTCAGAATAGCAGAGAGCAAGATGTTACATCTTCTTTTACACAGATACCATGTTTCTATACAGAAAGTGGCTTAAAAAACCAGAACCACACCTCATAAGAGAAAAGTTAAAATTTCCTCCCACTCTACCCCAAAAAAATTAAGGCAACTCCTCCTGTTAATGTGGATATCTATGCTCAGAAACTTTCACAAAGCACATGCAAACAGCTAAAACCTCAGAACACTGAAGTGAAAGCAAAAAACTCAGAGGAAGTCTTCTGTAAAAACCAAGAACACCAGCACTCTTCAACCACGACACTTCCCCAAAGATGACCACGCTGCCTTATGGCCATTAAACTGAAATGTCTGTGAATCTTCACAGTAACAGGCATAGATGCTACAAGGCACACAGCCATTTAAAAAGGCAGATCTCAGAGTTAGTCATAGTTTAAATCTAAATTAGTTAAGTAGAATTGGCTAATATTTGAGTTAAAAAAAAATGGGATCAAGAAGCTTCCAGGTTTCCATTTCATCCCTGACTCTATTGCTGTTAAGTGGATCTGTGCCTCAGCTCACCTTAAACTTAAAGCTAATGATAAAAATCTGCCTATAAAGGGCTATGAGCAGCTTAATGATTTTGCCTGGCTCTGAAGGACAGAAATGTTAACTAGTACTGTAAAAGAGGACAGTTATGGAAAGCAGCTAAGAAAACAGCAGCTCCATGACGGCAGAACTTCAGGGACAGTATGTGGTAAATATCTGAAAGGAAGTAGTACAACAGCTTTACAAGGAAACTGAGCAGGCACAGTCATTCTCAATGGATTTGAATGAACTTGACTGACATCTTTTCCTACTCAACAAGGAGGCACGCCTAGGAGGAGGTATGCCTATCCTCATTTTCTTTCCACCCCTAGCCCCATGAAAAAACAGTTTGTGTGTAAAATATACCTTTCATTCAAAAAAGATCCAGGAACATCTGATCGTAACAAGAAGGTTTAATGTTGAATTTCAAAGACATAACATTCAACAAACGAGGCATACCTCAGGTGTCTTCATCATAAAAGCCTTCTGGTATAGACATTAGTTCACTCAAGTCAAAAGGCAATTCAGAGCAACAGAACAGAAGGAAGATTTCAGCAAGTGATTTCTGAGCTGGTACGGCAGCAACCCCTACTAACAACAGGCAGTAATGAAACTGGCTAGTCAATAGCTACAGTAGTAAAAAGAAAAGAAATCTTTCTAAGAAACAGATCTTTTTACTACTGCCCGCTCTGCATTTCATTAGTTTTCCTGTCAAGTTTATACAGATAAAACTAAACTGCAGGTTGAAGCCTTCGGTTAGAAAAGATCTTATCAGAAATGGAGAAACTCTATAGGAACCAGGTGGGATCACCAATGACTCATGGAAGAGAATTTATTTTATATTCTTTTTAAATGACACAACAGCCCAGGTCTTTAGTCACATAAGCAGTGCAAAAGGATAGCAAGCAGGCTGAGAGCTTTTTTTTTTTTTTTAAATATTGCTTCTTTACTGAGATGCTAGATACTGAACATCACTTTAGAAAATCTGAGTGTTGCTCCTGCAAAATCTTTTCTCTATGGCTAGCCCCAGCCAATAAGCTTCATGAGACATTTACTTCCATTACAAGGAACTAGAGACCTAAGATTTATGTTGTGATGAGTCCCCGCTGATTGCATTTCAAGTGTAATCATCCTCACCACTTAAGGACAAAACCATCTGCTACCTCTGAGCAGCATCCAAGAAACACTCATTTCAGAAGTACTAAATTTAACCATGAAGGCAATAAATTACCCAACAGCACATTTTTCAGACTACCAGGTACCTGCTTCAGTGGACAACATTGACCACTAAGATGTGCTGTGGTCTGTCCTTAGAGGTACCTATTGCTTGACTTCCATTGTGGTGTTCCAGTACTGCTCCCTGCAAGATACCATAAACTGTTGTAGTAGGTTATCTTCTACAAATATTGCACTTCAGTCAAGCTGGAACCAAAACAGGGAGTTATGGAAATGTCCTGATGTAGGTATTAAATGAACCAATGCACGGAAGCTGGAAACAAAGTGAAGGGACCCCAGGGAAGAGTTCCTTGTGCGGACTTATTCAACAACTGTGGGAAACTGGTAGAAACCAACACCCCCAAAATACAAGAAAGGGACAGAGAAGCATCTTTTGAGATACTGCTGCTTGAGAATTATCTTTTATATTCCTATGTTACTGTGCAAAAATGTATATTTGTGTGACATGACATTTACAGATGTGAGAGAGATTAGGTCTACTTTCTCCTTTTTACATTTTTTTCCAGTACACAGACATACAAAAGCAACTCCAAATCTGAAAGTGATGAATGAAATCCACACCTTAAGCACTCCCCCCACTGATTTTCCCCTCACTCCAGGCTTTATCAACATGAATGCTAAAAGAACAGGAAGACAGGCAGGCAGACCAACTGAATAGGATGAGAAACCAAAACTGTTCCCAGTTCTCCCTGGGCAGTGAGGCACTCCATTAACTTTATGCCAAGGACTGCACATAAACAGTAAGTGGCAAGCTGAAGACCAGCTTCAGAGAAGCCAGAAAAAGTTAATCTTCCAATTCTTAGACAACTGTGACCATTTCTCACACCATCCTACAGGACTAATTTATGATGTCCTGGTTAACAAGCTGTTTTCCCTTTAGAACGCTATAGAATCTATTTGTTTTCAGACTTATGGAGGTTAGTTCCCAAATATACAAACTTCACCAGCAAACATGACCTACAGTACTGCTTTTGTGCAGTCATAATCAAGAACCGTGTGATCCTACAGCCAACTTTGCTTCTCCTCTTCATACTTTTGTGGATCAATAAAAGGCTTGTCAATAGACCGGATCATCAGCTCCCCACAGAACACGCATTCAGCTGCCACAATATCATCAATGTCAGCCTTGATCTGTTCCCGACTCTGCTGCCCCTTCCCTAAACTAGTGGCATCTGTGTCCTTTGGGCGATGGTGAGCTTTGGAGGGCTGGCTTGTGGCTGCCAGTTTCTTCTGAAGGTCTTCTAACTTAGCTTGTTTGTAGGCAGGCAGGTTTGGATAAACCGCCTGAAGAAGGCAGTCATAGTGAAACATGTGGCCACAAAGGAAAAGGTAGAATGGGCGATTTAGGAGGGGAAAGTCACAGACAGAACACTTCTCCTGAGGCTCTACAGAGCCATATTTGTTTCTCATTTCCTGGATATCCTCCCGGATCCTTTTGGCACTCTGTGTGGCTTCCTCCATCTCTCTCTTCAGCTCCTCAATATGCTTGTTGTAGTCCTCCAGAGAGTTGCAGATAGCCTCCTTGAAATGATCAATGGTGACAAAGTCTGGGAAGAATGGCAGGACATCTTCGATTTTCAGCAGGTTGCAGCTGGAGAGGCAGGCCATGGCTTTCTTCACATCCTTCTCTTCTTGAACTACATGGCATGCAATTTTCAGCCACAGCTTTTTCCGGAGCTCCTCATCCTCTTCAGGAAGGTCTGCACAGGACTTGGCCAGATCCACATCCACCTAGAAGACAAACAAGGAGAGTTACAATTTCCTCTTAACTTCTCCCTCCAACATGAACACTTGCTCTCAATAACAGGATATCTTTTTATTACATCAGCCATAAGTAGTGCTGTGCTAGCCAGAGGCTGGATGGTGTCATACCTTATAGACTAATTCAGAAAAACATGGGATAACAATCCAAAGTCTGCATCACCTGGTTTCAGTGCCCCTCTGCTGCATACCCATGGGGCAAACTGGGCATTTCCTACATGAAAGTATGCATGGACACCAAACTGACATCAATTCTAGAAAGCCATAAAAGCCCATTGCAGAATGCTTCATCTACCCTTGGACATTCTATCACTGATTTCAGAGTTGTTGTTCTTGGACAACAAAACTTTAAAAACCAACTTCATCGTGAAATTCCAGAACAAGAAATCATCCACAGATTAGATTGTGTTAAGTATAGTCTCAATAGAGACTCTGAATGCTTATCCCATTACCAGGACTAACTTTTATATCCCTCATATCCCTCAACAGGTTGTTTTGTTTATCCCCTTTGACCTCTACAACTCACCTTCCCCTGTCAGCAGTACCCCCTTCCCTCCATCCTAGCTCTCTACAAGTCCACCCATAACATCTGATGAAGTAGGATGTAGCCTATGAAAGCGCATACCTCTCTAAATGAGTTAGTCTATGAAAGTGCCACATTGCCTTACCTTCTACCTGGCAACCTCTCTATCACTGTACTGTTTGTTGGTACCATATATCCATATGGCAGTCTCCTCTCTCCCTCAATATACAACCCCATCAGGAAAGAGGCCTTATTAATTTTGGATTGATTTAGGAACAGCAGAAGGAACCAATGACTTTCCACATCCACAGTTAACTATAAAAGAAGCTTCCATTGTACAACAATTATAATTTTTTATATTTATAGGACTAGATCATTAGGTCTCCTCCATATCACTCCCTATTCTGCAACTGATGTGGTGTATTACACACTGACATTTACTGCTCAAAGTATCAACTTATTTTCCATAAGCTGACCAAGTGAGAACTAATTCAATGGATCTTATTAAAATAAGCATAATAAATTACACACAGGATGAGTTCTTCAGAGCAGCAGCCAAGACCTGATATTCTACAATATATGAACTAAAATACCTGCACGCAGTAGCACACACCTGCAAAGCCAGATCCACTGCCTCCTCATACATTTCCATCACTTTGTATATATGGACACAAGCTCGGTGGTGCTCATGCTCTGCACAGAGCCGAAGCGCATACTTCAGATCATAGTGGATCCTACTGGGACTGGTCCCAGTTTGTTCTAGATATGACAGCAGGGAGTCTGGCCGACACAGAGCATAAAGAGACAATAAGTAGTTGTGAATAGCTTGCTCAGTTTCCTCCAATTCATACACACAAAACTCCATATACCGAATAGCTTCATTGATCTGTTGTGTGCTCCCACTCTGACTATAATTGACAAGAGCAGGTATAAGCTTCTTTGCATCTAGTTTTATACCCATGGATATCCAAGCATCAACAACCTTCTTGGGGATGTGCTGGATCAGAACTGGAGAGAACTTGTAAAACAGCTTTTCATCTCTATGTCTGGACAGTACGTTTAGGGCTTCATCATACTCTTCATGCTGGCAGTGATGGGCTATCACTCGCTCATAATCCTGCATAATAACAGCAAAGTAGACCATGTGTTCCGTATCCCCATGACTTGCCAGCAACTCATAAATAGATGCACGGTTATTAAATAGACATTCTTTGTTTTTGGGGCTGATTAGGAAGGTACGAAACCTCTCACGGGTCTCCAAATAGAGGTGCCTTTTTGAGGCATCACCCTCCAGCACACCCAGCCAATTCAGGTACAGCTCTGTTAGCCAAGTGGTCAACAGAGTTGTCTGGGTCTTCTCAGAGTGCTTCAAGCTCGCCAGTTTCTTGAGCAGGAACTCCATCAATGCCTCTTCTTGTTTGGCTTCGATGAACTTAAGGGCAATTTCCTCAAAGTAGTTCTGTGTAAGGGCATAACACTTGGCGCTATCCAGGTACTTCTTGTTCTGGAAACAGTGTTCTGCCTCTTTTGCCAACACAATATCCAGGCACTCAGGCCGGTCTTTGCAATACTCTTTGGCCAAATCAAATTTGTTCATGTTCATGTACATCTTCCACACATCTCTAGACTCCCGTTGTACATGATAGCGAAACACAACTTTCTCTGTGTGGATCCAGATCTGCCCAACTGTTGGATCTTTGATCATGTGCTTCAGTGAGCCAAATTTTTCCAAGAACACATCCTGGAAGACTACCTGCCCATTTAGTGTGCACACTGCTGTCACTCTGTCAGGCAGAAGCAGCAGGAAATGGAACTGGGTGAGCACAATGGAGATTGGCTTATTAATTGTCACATCTATGTCAGAAGGATATACCCAGACCCGTTCTTCACTCAGAATAGAGTCAGGCCGCCCATAGTCCAACAAACCATACAAGACACCATTTCCCATCATCCAGGCAAAGCAGCGGGGAGAGGAGCGTAGCTTTGGGGTGTAAAATGCTATTTCACTATAGCCAAAGCTGGCTGGGAACTCCCGGAAGCTTGGCAAGTGGTCTGGATGTATGGCAAATATGGAGCTGAAGCCTTGCTGTTCCGTCCCTTCAGCTACCTTGCCAACAAACTGGAAGAGCCTCTTGTGAGTGGTGGCAATGATAAAATACTTCCCATCAATCCCACGTTCTATCTCCAAACAGCAGACAGGAACAGGCCCAGTCTCCTCCTCCAATGTATAAACCTGGCGGAAATACTGGTCAGGGTTAGTGCTGAAGAGGCTCCCCTCACTGACAGAGATCTCAGCCTCATATATTTGGCCATGGGCTGTCCCCACCAGGATAGGGCCAGTGTTAGTTTCTGTACCCAGGAACTTGTTCCAGCCCACGCTTTCGATCAAATGACCCTTCCAGCGGGACAGTGTCCGCACCTTCTGAGCATTTCTGTTCAAATAGAGGCATTCACTGGTGTTCAATGCAATCAAGAGGTGAGAACCTGTAAAAGGCATGTGGCCAAGGCGAGGTAACGAGAGAGAGAAAAGGAACATGGTGTTAGCAGAAAAGTTACCATCACATCTCAGGTAGCATGTGTTGTCAAACAATACTTCTGGGTCTTCTCAAGGAAGACATCCTAGATCAGAGGTGGGCAAAGTCTGGCCAGGGATGCTGGGACTCCATTTCCCAGCAGCCCTGGCTCCCAGCCAGCCTCCATGGAGGAGGAGTATGGGGGCATGGTTGTGTGACGCCATGACAACGCAAGGCTGCAGAACCAGGGCTCTGCCCCAACCCAGCTCAGCCCCATGCTCCTGAGGTCTCCATGCATATCAGCCAGGAGCCCCATGGCCAAGGCACACAACTGGGCGGGAAGCTGCTCTGAGGCCTTGGCTGGGGCTGGGATTTTGTGGCAGTCACAGCAGAGGGTGGGGCCAGGACAGAGCTGCAATCTGCTGTCCGCCCATGCCCCTGTGATAAGCATGTATTCCATGGGCAGCAGATTGCGGCTTGGCCCCGGCCCTGCCCCGTGTTGTCACCACCACAAGTTCCCAGCTCTGGAGCAGCTCCTCTCCCTACCTATGCTGCTCCTGGCCAATTTCCACAGAGACCCCCAGGAGTGTAAGGCCATGACAGCGCAGGGCCAGGCTGGGCCTGGCCAGGGCACAGCCCTGGATCTGCAGCCCCACACTGTCACAACCCTACACTCCCAGGGTCTCCAGGAAGACCAGCCAAGAGCTAGGGCCACTGGGAAATGGAGTCCAGCTGCTGGCTGGATCCACCATTTTGCCCACCCATGTTCTAGATCCTGGAGTGCTCCAAGGAATCTGAATTCATAAAGACAAGGGGACTGACATGCTGGATGAAATAAATGGCCCATTTAGTCTAGTATCACAACAGACCATGACAGTCTCCAGATGCTTCAAGGGAAAGCACAAGAAACCCTGCATGAACCATTATGAAATAAATGATCCCTTTTTAAAAGTCTCTTCCTGCCCCAGGCCACCAGTGATCATCGGAAGGTTCTCTCTCAAATTTTTCATTCCAGCTGTTAACTACACATAAAGTCTCTCTAACAACTCTGCTAAATTCTTGGCCTCAGCTGTTAGTAGTAATGGGCTGTAATAGGTACCTTAGATCAGTTAGCTCAAAACAGCCCATGTTCCATCAGGAATTAAATTAAACTATCATTTAAATACACCAGAATTTAAAACAGTGAGGCACAGTATTCTTCCTCCAACATTCAGATAGAAGGATTCCTTGGAAAATAACTAGATAGTTGAATTCAGCCCCAGGCAGACCATATACTCATTCCACACACAGAATAGAAACTGCAATTCTTCCTTAATTAACACTTGCTATCTGTGGTCTATTTACTCTGTTCTCATGTGAGACTGACAAAGTATTCAATCAACTACACCTGTGTGGTCCAAAAACATCTTGTAGACTCTGGCTTCATCCTTGCGTCCCAACTCTACCTGATTAGGTTCATCTGGCTTGCCAAGATCAATCCTGCATGGAAGTGATAAACCAAGTTACCAACAGACAGAAAAAGTCCACATAACTATAAGAAGTTCTACTTTAATATTTAACCAGAGACCATGGAAGCACACCACGCTGGAGAAGGGCATTCCCCCATCAGCTGTAAGTCATCAACAGCACATTACCTTAGAAGTGTGTCTTTGCCAAGACTCATGCAGAGCTGGTTACAGGAGACCACTAGACTGTTAATTTTCTCTGGAGGAGTGAAATCTATTCTCTGCTTGTTAAATATCGGGGTTTCCTTCTCCAACCGGGCATTCACATATCCTAGGAGAGAGAAAAATATGAACAAACACTGTTTAGAAAATAGGCAGTTAACTTAACCTAACTTAAAAATGGAAAAGAAATGGGAAAGGCTATTGGAAAATGAAGTGAGATATGGTACGTAACTGTCTCTCCATTTACCTGGCTGCATAATGGAAGATACAGAATTGGTTTATTTTTCCATAGTGCCACAGTGCAGCACTGTGTTAAATGACATTAACTGAAACATGTCTAGAGACAAAGCCTGAAAACTCTGGGAAAAACTGAGAAAGGGGACTTACAGGAACTGCACAAAAAGCTAATGAAGACAGTTGTAAAACAAAAGCAAATAAGTTGTCAACAATCAGGAAATCAAATTATTTGTTCCACACTGAAGAAAAAAAAAAAAAAGATCAGAATGCAGAAGCAGATCTATACTGAAACAGGAAATAGCCAAAATCCTGTTTCTCAAAGCCTTTAAAGTCACCCTAAAAGCAAGTGGACCAGTCAAAAATGTCCACTTCTAAACAAAAGCGAAGTTCTAAACAACTTCCCTTAAAACTGCAAGGGAAAGATAGAAAAGACTAGGCAGAGCAGAAGGACCAAGAGTGCAGGAAATGTGTAAGTTAAGATGAGTTACTACAGGCCAGTCTATATCAGGGATAAAGAAGCTGCAAGGAGCAACATTTTCCTAAGAATGGAAAAGAATCTGCTTTCAAAAGCGTGGCACAGCCTAAGACTGGACAACTTCATGCCTAAATCAGAAGTGTCCTTCAGAAGCTGCCCATGGTGGATGGATCTTTGCCAAAATCCAGAGATGAGTTGAACTACACAGTCAAATGTAAAATAATGAGACGTTCGCACAAAACAAAGCAGGAATGATGCTCATTAGCAGATTAAGGGAGTCATATCTATATCCACATACAGATTGTATCACAAAGCTATCTTCACATCTGTCCTCCATATCATGTAACCTCTTGACAAAGGAATACAGTACAAACAGCAACTGGCCACATCACTCCAAGCTAGGCACCAACAATGGACTAATCAGTTTTTGTCCCTTCCCAGGTTAAATGTTAATCTCATGTCAAGGATGGAGAACCATTGATTCTATTGGGATTTCTGAGAGACTATAGCACCCATGTTGAGCTTGGGAAAGTCTTCACTTTCAAGAGACTTACAGGGAGGAGAGGGCTGCAGGAACCAAAGCCATTGACCATTAAAACAGCCACGTATTTTCAGAAGTTCTTTCACTAGCATAGCCCAGTTCCTGCTAAAAATGGTGAAGGGCTAGCATAAGTGGGCTACTAACATTTTTACCACTGCACTAAGTCTGCTGTGAGCAGAGACAGGAAGTAAATATCATACCATCTGCTCTACCACATTCCCCTTTTGATCCACTGATACTAAGCCAATTATGAGAGTTTCTAAATATCATCAGTTTGAAAAACACCAAAGCGCATGAAGCACTAGGAAAGACAGGAAATAATTTCACATTCATCGTGGAATGACAATCAAGAATCAGGCCACTAAAAATTAGGGATGCAACAATAAAGATTTTTGGGCTGATACTGATGGCTGATTAATAATGAGCCATATCAGCCGATACCAAACCAACTGCGCATGTGCGGTCTGGCAGCTTGGAGAGCAGCATCTGGCTGGTAAGTCTATTGGAGTGGGGGGGAAGGGAAGGGAAGGGACATGGGGGGGCAGGTCAAGAACCCTGAGGTGAGGGAGGGTAGGGCAGGGCACAGTTCAGGACAGAGCTGAAAGACGCTTGTCCAGGGGAGCAGATCCCACCCCTACATGCACACCAGAACCGCAGGAGGCATGTGCTCCCCGGATCTGTGCACACGACAAGGGAGGGCTACTGCTGCAGGCAGTGCCAGGCTCTTCCCGGCAGGGGTCTGGGCCAG